GGCGACGCTAGAGATGGCGGAGCATGAGACGGCGACGACCTACTGCAATCGTGCGCAGATGATTCTCGCTAATCCGCGAATGGCTGGCGTGAACTATTCTATGGCTTCGTATGTGACTCACGTCCTTACAGGTCTTCCCGCGGAGTACAAGTACCTTCGACGAACGCTACAATCTCCGGAAAACTGCAAGACTCTCGACGAAAACACTTTGACGAGCAGAATTATCGTGGAGGAGTGCACGCTCGAGCTCGAAAAGCGGAAGGAATCACCTCTGCCACAGGTCAACTGGGCGTCGACGGGACAGCAGCAGCAGCAGCAGCAGCAGAAGCGTTGGTCTTCTTCGACAACTGGCAGTTCTACGGAGCAGAAATCGTCGAACAAGGAGCAGCAGAAGAAAGATGGTCGACAGCAGAACAACAAACGGAGCTCGAAGAAACCTTGCTGGGTCTGCGGAGAAGTCGGACACTTTGCGTTCCAGTGCGAACAACGTGCTGACAAGAAGAACAATGCTTCCGTGCAGAAGGAGAGTTCTTCGAAGACTGGAGCGCAGAGCGACAACTCCAATTCGACCAACAAAAAGGGACCTTCTTGTTCAATGGTGGGACCAGTTGTGGACCAACTGCAGACGACCGATCTGCTCATTTCGCTGAATGCGGAAGATGGTGAGGATTTTCAGGCGATTGCTGCAGCCGTCGAGGCCAATCCTTCAGTTGTTCTTCTCGACAGTGGCTGCTCACATCATCTGATGGGCGACGATGCAGCCTTTGTCGAATTGCATGAAGGCGGGGACATTAAACATGTTCGCGGATTCAACGGGGCATTCCAAGACGTGTGTGGTCGCGGAACAATCGCTCTACGCGGTGAAGCTGAGAAGCAGATTCTGATTCCTGATGTGCTCTACGTGCCTGGAATCCATGCGAATCTGTTGTCTGCTGGGCAGCTGAAGGATTGTGGAGTAAAGCTGAAGGATGAAGGTGAAGAGACCCTCCTTCTCTCTACTGATGGGACAGTCCTTGGACGCGCTCGTTATAGAGGACGAGTGCTCAGCACAGATCTCCAGGTGTGGCCGCTGCAGAAATCGGCAGGGGAGGCGATTGCTCTGCGGACCTTGGCGACGGATACACGGGCGAAGATGGTCGTGTGGCATCCTCGACTAGCTCATGCGGGCGTCGAAACAATCAAGCAGACGGCGACGCATGGTGCAGCGACAGGCTTGGATATTGACAAGTCAGCCAACCCTGATCTACCGTGTGTTTCTTGTGTGGGGGGAAAGCTTATTCGGCATAGTTTCCCTCAAGAGGGGAGCGAAGAGCAGAAGGTGCTGGGAGTAGTGCACATCGATCTCTGCGGGCCCTTTCGAGTTCCTGCGAGAGATGGCAGCCGCTACTTTCTTCTGCTCAAGGATCGAAAATCTCGCTACGTCTGGATCTACCCGATTGCGCAGAAAGGCGATGCTCTGCGCGTTTTCCAGAAGTGGCTGCCGCGTGCAGAGAGGCAATGTGAGGCTTCGCTGAAGGCTCTCCGCTCCGATCGAGGTGGCGAATTTTTGGGAAGTAAATTCACCGAGTTCCTCGAAGAGAAGGGGATTGAGCACGACCTCACCTGCCCCTATATGCCGCAGCAGAACGGGATGGCGGAACGGGAAATGCGGACTGTCGTCGAAGCAGTTAGGACAATGCTTCTGCACATGGGAGCTCCCCACCATTGGTGGCACCTTGCAGCTCTGCAAGCTGTTTGGGTGAGGAATCGTCTGGAACATTCCTCTCTGCCATCAGGGGTAACTCCTTATGAAGTGCTCTTCGGAAAGAAGCCTGACCTTGGGATGGCTCGAGTTTGGGGGTGTATGCTGCAGTACCTCATTCCAGAGAGTCAGCGGGGGGGGGAAGTTGGAGCCGAAAGCTCGTTGGGGTCTCCACCTGGGTGTCTCGCAGCAGAGTAAGGGGTGGTTGGTCCTCGATTTGTCGACCAACCGTTTGATCACCACGGTCGAGGCCATCTTCTACGAGACAATGTCTCTTACAGAGTGGACGGCGACGAAGCAGAGTCCCACCGTCGACCGTGCTGCGCTCGACAATGTGGCATCATTCCCGACGGATCCTGCGGATGATGACTACGATGATGACGAAATGACTAAGGCACCAGCCCCTCTGCTCGTGCCTACGCCGATTCCTCGATCGCAGCTGCCTCCTGACAACCCTCCAGTGCAACTCTCGCCGTTGCCAGAGACTCCTCCTGCAGAAGACCCTTCTCCTGCAGATGACGCTCCTTCCGCGGAGCAGGTTCGCACTGCAGAAGACATCCGCTCTGATTCTTCTTCGACAGGGGAGCAGCTGTCGACTGCCTCTTCTTCAACGTTCTTTCCTTCGACTGAAAAATTGGTGCCATTGTCGACACTCCTTGGCGAAGAGGGGAGCAAATTGCCGATGAATGTCGTCGCCAATGAGCGTCGAGAAGTCGAACAGCCTGCAGACGAAAAATCCGCAGAAGAGCGATCCGCAGAAGAGCAATCGGCAGAAGATCGATCTGCAGACGAGCTGCCTGCAGAAGAAAATGTCGAAGAAGAAATGCCTGAGCTAGAAGAAATTGTCGCAGAGGAGCAACCTGCAGAAGAAGGACCTGCAGACGAAACAGTTCGGGTTTCTCGTTATGGTCGAAAGATTGAGAAGCCGCTCCGCTTCCGCGAAGGTCTAACGATGTTTACGACGACTTCGCTCAACGGCATGCATGAGGATGTAGTACAGAAAGAGCTCGACTCTGCTGACGAGTGCGTCGTCGACACGGATCATCGTTGGGACATTTCGACCATGACAGTTGCAGAAGCTCTGCGAAGCTGGAAGGGTGAAGCGGTCAAAGCTGCAATGAATGCAGAGATGCAGACTCTCTACGATCAAGAGACTTGGGAGCTGGTTCCTCGCCCGCCTGGGGTTAATGTCATGAAGAATCGATGGGTTCTGACGACAAAGTACAACCCAGACGATACGGTCGACCGAGAGAAGGGTCGACTTGTCGTCAAAAGATACACGTAGACCCCTGACGAATTCGACGCTATATCTGCCCCCGTCGGAAGTTACGGAACTGCTCGGATGCATCTGTCGAACGCAGCTGACGGAAATTTGGAGTTGATGCAACTCGACATGACAAATGCATTTCTGAATGCGAAACTTGATCGTCCTCTCTTCATGGAGCAGCCCGAGTTCTACAACGACGGGACGGGTCGAGTCTGCATGCTGAAGAAAAGCCTGTATGGACTGAAGCAGAGTCCGATGTTGTGGTACGAGGCCCTCGACGAAGTGCTGGAAGATGAAGGATGGTCGAAGAGTCAGGTTAACGAAGCTTTCTACTTCCACGAGGACGAGAACCACGACATGTGCTGGGTGCTCGTCTACGTCGACGATCTGCTCGCCGCGAGCCGCAGCAAGGAACATCTGGCAGAACTGAAGGCGCTGCTCGAAAACGCCTTCAAATTGCGGGAGATCAGCCCTGTCAACAAGTACCTGGGACTTGAGCTGATCAGAGACAGGGAAGCGGGGAAGATCTGGCTGCATCAGAGAGGCTACGTCGACAGGGTGCAGAGGCGTTTTATGCCAGAAGGACCTCCTCAGCGAGTTTCGAAGACGCCAATTTCGGTCGACGCCTTCAAGATGCTGACATTTGACGACGAGAAGTTGCAGGCGCGCACAGAAGAAGAGTATCGGCAGAGGGTCGGCTCTCTGCAGTTTGCTGCCTGCACTACTCGCCCCGACATCTCCTTCGCCTGCAGCAAACTTGCGTCTGGTCAAACGGTTCGAAGCGACCAGCATTGGAGGGAGCTCGACCGCTGCATTGCGTACCTTGTTGGGACGCGCGATGTTGCTCTCGAGTTCGGCGGCGGAAATGGAGAGATGCGTCTCGTCGGCTTCGCAGATGCAGACGATGCAGGAGACAAGCAGAATCGCAGCAGCACGGGTGGCTACATTTTCACTCTCGGTGGAGCTGCTATTTCATGGGCAAGTCAGAGGATCAGGTGCATCACTCACTCTTCTACAGAGTCGGAGTACATCGCTGCAGTGGAGGCTGGAAAGGATGCCCGAAAGCTTCGTTTTCTGATGGCAGAATTTCGCATACTCGACGAGACGTCACCAACGATTATCCACGTCGACAATCAATCTGCGATTTCTGTGTCTGAAGGAATGGGGCTCAAGGGAAAGCTGAAGCACATGGAGCGGCGCTACATGTGGCTGCAGAGCATGGTGAAACGTCGCAAGATGAAGCTGCAGTACATTCCGACGACCGAGCAGCCGGCAGATTACTTGACGAAAGCACTACATTTCCCTGCGTTCAACAACTGCTTTAAGAAAGTTGGTCAAGTAAGGCTTTCGGCGAAGGGGAGCAGTGCAGAGGGTCCTCTTGACGTGGAATAGGTGCCATGACCTTTTCATGGCTAGTGCGGTGATGGTGTGTGCGAATTGCAGACTACTGCAATTCTTGTGTGTTTCTTTTCTGCATGTTTTCTTTCTTTCTTTCTTTCTGTTTCTGCTCTGGTGTGTGGTGTAGACGGGTCAATGTTCTCTGCGACGACCAAGCAGGATCAATGCAGGGGAGTGTTGAGCTGGCATTGACCCTGCAGAAGATGGTCGTCGCCTTCTGCAGGGGAGCGAAATTCCGCCGAGGCGAATGCTGCAGAGGATTACGCGGAACTTTGCAGCAGAGGGAATTCGGAGAAGCAGAAGGTAGAAGAGTGCGCATCTGCAGAAGAGTGCGCAGCTGCAGAAAAGTGCGCATCTGCAGAAGAGTGCGCATCTGAGGACATCGTTCTGCAGAGAAAGGCACGTCTGCAGAAACGGATTTCTGCAGAGAAGCACATTCTCGACCGACGAACCTTTCCGACGCGAAAACTCGATCGTTTCGGAACTTTTGCGTGGGAATTTCGGAACATTGCGGACATTGAGAAATTAACCCCGGGGAACAGTCCGCAGAACTGGGGTGTTCAATCTGGGGCGAAATTGAATTACCTGCACAGAATGAACCTGGCGCACATTTTCGTAACTATGAGAACGTGCGTTACAGAAGTTGTTTAAAACAACCTGAACAGCTAAAACAACTACTTACTAAGCACATGTTGTAATTTTCACCTGCCGACGCTGAGTTGGCAGAGCGCAGCTAAAAGTAGTTATGTAAACGTTCTTGGGCGAACCTTCTCTACATGGTTCATTGGTTGAGTAGTTTCTATTTCACCCCTTGTTGTATTCTATCTTTACAATTCTAGTGAATTTTCTGTGTGTGCCAAATCTATGCCAAATCTCACCATTCTTCTTCCCTTCCCTGCTGCCATCCTTGCGCTCTTACCTTGTTGCCTGCCTTGCTCTCTTACCTTGTTGCCTGCCTTGCTCTCTTACCTTGTTGCCTGCCTTGCTCTCTTACCTTGTTGCCTGCCTTGCTCTCTTACCTTGTTGCCTGCCTTGCTCTCTTACCTTGTTGCCTGCCTTGCACTCTTACCTTGTTGCCTGCCTTGCTCACTTAACTTGTTGCCTGCCTTGCTCTCTTACCTTGTTGCCTGCCTTGCTCTCGTACCTTGATGCCTGCCTTGCTCTCGTACCTTGTTGCCTGCCTTACTCTCTTGCCTTGTTGCCTGTCTTGCTCTCTTGCCTTGTTGCCTGCCTTGCTCTCTTACCTTGTTGCCTGCCTTGCTATCTTACCTTGTTGCCTGCCTTGCTAACTTACCTTGTTGCCTGCCTTTCCTTCCTTCCTTGCTCCCTTTCTGCCCCCCACATGTCTGCAGCTTTGGAGTGGTGATGCTGGCGGTGATCACGGCTCGCAAGGCCATCTACAACATCGAGTCAAACCAAGTCAACCTCAAGCAGTGGGTCTGTCTCACACCAAAACCCATTGCCTCTTCTCGAATACCTATCCTCCTTTTCATGACGTCTGTTTGCACATCCATTCTTTCTTGCCAAAAATCCTCACTCTCCCTTCCTCTCCTCTGCCTCTTCCCTCCCCTGCTCCCTTACTTCCCCCGATTGATCCACTCACAGGCAGCAGCCCTAGTGGCAGCAGGGGACGTGGCGGCCCTCAAAGACCCGCACCTGCAAGCACCGGACGACCTGGTGCTGCGCATGGCACGCCTGGCGCTCACCTGCACCGCCATGCCCACAGCGTCTCGCCCGGGCATGAGCCGTGTGCTGGCAGAGCTGCTGCTGCTCAAGGAGGAGTTCTTCGGGGAGGACGAGGACCGCATGGCTGTTAGGATTGACCACGAGATCGAGAGCTCCGAGCAGGTCGACTTCAGCTTGGAGCTGGCTCGTATTGAAGGCAATCAACATGGTAGTTAGTGACGTCACTACATTTGATAGATCCATATACTGATCTACACATGATACACAGCTACATAAGCTAGTAGGAAGACAGCAGGTCCGGTATTTCAGTCATGAAATAGATCCACCTGCACAAGAAACAATGCCACGGAAAGAAGTGCTTGTAACATAAAACAACACTTACATAGCGTGCTGGTAACTGTGTGATGCCATCGACTTGTAAAAAATAGCGCCAGATACATGCAGGACCTGCGAACATTAAAACAAACTTACAAACGCAACACCTGCCACACGAATCAACCAATGAGATTAGAATTGCAGCATAAGCATGAAGGGCGATAAAACACACGAACATGAGAAACTCTTCAAAAGACAGCGTGGGATTAGAACTGCCAGAAATACAGAAAAGGCGACAAAAGACACACGTCGGAATATGTCTTACACACAGCGTAAGTACGCCATAAATTCATAAAAGGCGACAGAAAAAACGATAAGAAGCTCTGCGACAGAAAGTGGGCATTAGACCCGAGTCGGCCAGGTAGTGTTCGAACGGTGAACGGTAACTAGGACGAACAATCAACTTAAGTATTCTGACAGGCAACTAAGAGACGGGCGGCAGGAATAATAGGAACTGGAAAGCTAAGTGAGCATTGAGAAGAGAAACGGTGAGAAGAGAAATGGCGAGAACAAAAGTGGAGAGACGTGCAATAAGTCGATTCTTTGAGCATGAGGTGGTTGGGCGAGGTAGGTGGGTTGCTTGTTTGGAATGTGCCGAAGGTGGAGGGAGAGATTGCGTGCAAACGAGGGTGGCTCTCGATGGCTTGGGATTGGCTGGGATTGAGCTGCTGCTCAATCACAGGCACTTGACAGCTTCTTCTGGAATCACAAATCGCGCGACTCGAAGACTGGTTCTGGTGTGTGGTGCCTAGCACGCCCCAGGAAACCACAACTACAGCATGCTGGGTGCGACACGAAAAGTTGATGGGAATCTTTTCGATCCCATTCGCCACATCAGCAGCAGAGAGACATTTCATTCGTTGAAACCGTTTTCAAGATGTGTGAAGATCATCCGTGAGGGTTATCGTCCAATGGGAGACTTCGTCGTCTTTTCTGACGCATTCAGATTCGTTTAGCGGGAAACCCAACAACTCAACAGTCGAAATGTATACCAGAAAATCCTTACTTCTTGTCACTAAATATATCTTAGCCTCATCAATCAAATTTGCAGCAACTACTACTACTCCTACTCCTACTCCTACTCCTACTCCTACTCCTACTCCTACTCCTACTCCTACTCCAACTCCTACTCCTACTCCTACTCCTGCTCCTACTCCTATTACTGCTCCTATTACTGCTCCTACTACTGCTCCTACTACTACTACTACTACTACTACTACTACTACTACTACTACTACTACTACTACTACTACTACTACTACTACTACTACTACTACTACTACTACTACTACTACTACTACTACTAGTAGTAGTAGTAGTAGTAGTAGTACTACTACTACAACTACTACTACTATTAGTACTACTACTACTACTACTACTATTACTACTACTACTACTACTACTACTACTACTACTACTACTACTATTATCACTACTACTACTATCACTACTACTACGACCACCACAACGACAACGACAACGACAACGACAACGACAACGACAACAACAACAACAACAACAACAACAACAACAACAACAACAACAACAACAACAACAACAACAACAACAACAACAACAACAACAACAACAACAACAACAACAACAACAACAACAACAACAACAACAACAACAACAACAACCACGACAACAACAACCACCACGACGACAGCAACGACGAGAACAACCACGTCGACAGCAATGACACGACAGCACCGACGACAACACCGACTGCAACAACCACTGCAACATCGACGGCAACAACGACAGCAACAACGACGACGACAACAACGTCGACAACAACGACGATGATAACGACGACGACCACGACGACAACCACGACATTAACCACGACCACGACCGACAATAACGACGATAGCAACGACGACAACAGCAACGACAGCAGTAATGACAGCAACAACCACAACAGCAACAACAGCAACGACAGCAACAGCAACAACAGCGACAACAACAGCAACGCCAGCAACAACGCCAGCAACAACGACAACAACAACGACAGCAACAACGACGGCAACGACGACGACAAAAACGACGACGACAACAACGTTGACAACAACGACGACGATAACGACGACGACCACGACGACAACCACGACATTAACCACGACCACGACCGACAATAACGACGATAGCAACGACGACAACAGCAACGACATCAGCAACGACAGCAACAATCACAACAGCAACAACAGCAACGACAGCAACAACAACAACAGCGACAACAACAGCAACGCCAGCAACAACGACAACAACAACGACAGCAACAACGACGGCAACGACGACGACAAGAACGACGACGACAAGAATGGCGACAAGAACAACGTCAATAACGAAAACAACAACGACGACGACCACGCCGACGACGATGACGATGACGGCGACGACGACCGCTAGGACAACCACAACGACAACGCGACAGCGACACGACGGCGACGACGACGACGACAACGAAACCGACGACGCCAACAAGGACGACAACGACATCAGCGACAACAGCAGCAGCGACGACGACGACAACAACCAACACGTAATAAAAAAGCAGCATTCATATGAATCATGTCGCTCGCTCTTTTGTAGTCGACAACTAGACAATAATGTTCACAACACATCTTCTTTTTGGAGACTATTGTTGCAACATTGCTCGTAGTTACAGAGGAGTTTGAAACACACCCTGGTATTAAAAAACAAACCTAAATGATCACGTGTAATCCCAAAAAACTTACAAATGAATCAGATCACTCGCTCTTATCCAATAAATATACGTAGACAAATCTAATCAAGCGCTCTTCCCCATGTTGTTGCATATGGTCTGTAATAAGGGATGCAGGGTTAGCCTAATTCGATCATATGCTAGATTTTAAGCGATTGATTATTAAGTTTGGAGTTGCAATTTGGACTCAGTTATCCTACCAATTCTGTTATAGGAATCTGCAGTCACTGCTGTAACATTCATAAATAGGCAACAAACACAGTTGCCATGCCTGGCGATTTAGTTTACAGGTCATGTGCAGAAACTCGGTCGCCAACATTACCAGAATTCTTTCGCAAGCGCGTGTTGACGAAACTCTTTTCGCGTTACCCCCACAGAAATATCGCCAGTAGCCGTTCAGACTGAGTCAGAACTTTCGCGCTGCCCATAAACCGGGATGAACCAGAGGCACGTAACGAATCCCTCCAGAAAAGGGCCACGTTGGAAATCCCACAGCGACCAGAACATTTGAGCCGTAGATCCTCGATACATCGAACGTCTAAAAACAATGAAGAAACATCGAGCATCCAACTCTTCGAAACAAATGCGGCACGAAGTGCGACGCGAGAAGCGGTATCAATCAGAGGCATGATCTAAACCGTTTAACAAATCGCTTGGAATCTTGTCCGTGGATCAAACGATCGCACATTCCTGGAAGCAGCCAGATACATTTTATTGCACGCAGAATGGGCAAAACAGGGTTGATCGTGGTACCAAAATTGCCACGTTGCCCCCAAACGCAGGCACAGGTTATATACAGCAACTTACAACGATGGGAAACCATCGAGAAAAGTGGTCCGATGGACCACCCCATTCACAACACCCCCAACATTTTTGCGATGGAACTAGTAGAGGGGGAATAGGGTCGGCTGTTGATTGAATAAGTGATTTTCGGAGGCAATACGCACGGGGGAAAGGAGGGATACAGGGATTTGGAGAAGGAAATGTAATGAACCCCGGGCAGGAGTGATTTCTATGTGTCAATAAACGTGGGGATGCAAAATGAATGCCCCAATCAACGCTTCGACCTTTCCCTTTATTCAGATTAAGGGATTTTTAAGCCTCAACCTTAGGTCTTCTATGCACACTTAGGCAGTGCCGCTAGAATTCCAGAGCTGATTTAGGAGAGAAACAAAGAAGAACCAACGGCGGAATAGCGACTAGTCTTTGTTCGCAGTGCGAACCTAAAAAAACGGTCCATTGAGTGGTGAAAATGGGGCCACTCGCCGCAAAATCGAACTCACTGAAAATGAGCTGCCGGAATGTCCGAAGCGGAAACTCGAAGCACATAATAAGGTTCCAGAACTAATTTTCGGCTAGGGAATTGGCCACTTGATGAATGGTAACTAACGTGTAGAGCGCTCGTCAGCCATCTGGTCTAAAAGGCCAGAGAACTACTACAGAGGGGAATGCAAGAGTGAAGCATGAAATAATGGAGACAAGGAGGCCCACGGCCACATTGTTCTGAAATGAAATGGCGAAAACGTGAAAACAATTTCGCAGACGGAAATTGCAGGCTCACGACACGAGGAAGTAAGTTACCATGCAAACGGGCTCGCGAATCTCTGTGCCTAGGTGGTGGTAGGGCTGGTCGGTGAGGCAATGCCTGCGGGAGGCGACCGATGGCGAGATTCAACTGGATATTGATGAGTTGGCATGCTGACGACGATGTCAGAATGCAGTTGTCGAGCTTGACGGTGAGAGTGCAGCGACCTGAATTGACTGAAATAATAAACATTGTTCTCACTCGAACAAATGGACGTGTATAGATAACCTAAAACACGTATTTTCTTAACAAAATGATGGCTGCAGCTAGTAATTGGAATAAGGGGTTAAATTGTTGTTTTTTATAACAAACACGATGAACATCGCACTTTTTGCACAGCTTCAAACTCGTCGGCATGAATTATTTGAACAACAGTTCCCCTGGCTTCCCTAACTACCATGCTGAATCCCCTGAAGACGAGCCAGCTCCAAGCTGAAGTCGACCTGCTCGGAGCTCTCGATCTCGTGGTCAATCCTAACAGCCATGCGGTCCTCGTCCTCCCCGAAGAACTCCTCCTTGAGCAGCAGCAGCTCTGCCAGCACACGGCTCATGCCCGGGCGAGACGCCGTGGGCATGGCGGTGCAGGTGAGCGCCAGGCGTGTCATGCGCAGCACCAGGTCGTCCGGTGCTTGCAGGTGCGGGTCCTTGAGGGCCGCCACGTCCCCTGGTGCCACCAGGGCTGCTGCCTGTGAGTGGATCAATCGGGGGAAGTAAGGGAGCAGGGGAGGGAAGAGGCAGAGGAGAGGAAGGGAGAGTGAAGATTCGTGGCAAGGAGGATCGGATATGAAAGCAGATCATGGTAGGGAAAGACAGAAGAGTTTGATTTTCTCAGGTCATTGGATGCTGGTGTGAGACTGACCCACTGCTTGAGGTTGACTTGGTTTGAATCGATGTTGTAGATGGCCTTGCGAGCCGTGATCACCGCGAGCATCACCACACCGAAGCTGCAGACAGGTGGGAATTATGGCAGCGATGACAGCCGCAGAGAAGAAAAACATAAGGCAGCAGGGTAAGGGAACAAGGCAGTCAGCAGGGTAAGGGAACAAGGCAGTCAGCAGGGTAAGGGATCAAGGCAGTCAGCAGGGTAAGGGAACAAGGCAGGCAGCAGGGTAAGGGAACAAGGCAGTCAGCAGGGTAAGGGAACAAGGCAGTCAGCAGGGTAAGGGAACAAGGCAGTCAGCAGGGAAGGAGAGCAAGGTAGGCAGCAGGGTAAGAAAACAAGGCAGTCATCCTTGGGAGTAACTTTGTGAGAGTGGTAATAAGCAGGATCCACGCAGCCTGGTGTGTCCATGACAGAGTATTTTCTGGAATCCTAAGACGGAGTAGTTTCTGGAATCCTAAGACGGAGAATTTTCTGGAATTCTAAGACGGAGTAGTTTCTGGAATTCTAAGTACCATATCACCCACACCTGTGCACGTCAGCCTTGGGAGTGGCCTTGTGGGAGCGGTAGTAAGCGGGGTCCACATAGCCCGGCGTGCCCATGACGCGCGTGGCGGCCACAGATGTACCTTCCCCAAGTCGCACCAGCCCAAAGTCAGCGAGCTTGGCGTGCATGCGCGCGTCCAGCAGCACGTTGGCGGGCTTGATGTCGCGATGCACGATGCTGAAGCCGTGCAGATACTCCAGCCCGCGCGCCATGCCCGTCAGGATGGCCAGCCGCTGCTGCATCGTGAGCGGGTGGGGTGCGTCTGGGAGGAGAATGCATGGCAGTTGGGAGTTGGGCAGCTGGGTGTGTTTATGAATGGAACAAGAGTCTCCAGGTTTATAGAATGCATTGGATCCCTCTGGGTTGATAGAACGGATTGCAATGAGTTGCATGATTGTCCAGAGCTGGTAAAGGAACATGCTGTAGAGAGTATGGCGGTAACAAGAGGTTTGACAAGAACAACACAGGCACGGCTGGATGCTCTCATGCGGTGAGACACTACTTTGAGCCCCCCCCCCCTTCCCCCTTCCCTCTCCTCCCTCCCCCTCCTTTTCCCCCTTTTGTTTTTATTTTTCGATGTGTCGACTAGAAAAGTCACAACATACTCTTTCTAGTCTGTAAACTCCTACGTGACGCAAGTCACCTGCCTTGTGCAACAGAACAAACCGCCTTGGCTCACCAGGTCCGATCCAGCGGTCGAGGTCGCCGTTGGCCATGAACTCATAGACCACGATCTGCTCCATGCGCTCCGCCTCGTAGCTCATGTCAAAGCAGTACCCCAGCAGCCTCACCAGGTTTGGGTGGCTCTTGGTCGCCATCTCGTTGATCTGAAGGGTGATGGTGAAGTGGGTGGGATGAATCAGGTTGGGAAGAAGCAGGCCAGTTCCTGCACCAGGTTCGGATGGCTCTTGGTCGCCATCTCGTTGATCTGCAGGGGGGTGGTGGGGGGAGGAAGCAGAGCCGAGGGAAGCGGGGTGGGTGGAAGCAGGGCGGTTTCTGAAGAGCAGCCGCACCAGGTTCGGATAGCTTTGCCGAGGGAAGCGGGGTGGGAGGAAGTTGGCTGAAAGGAAGTGAGCTGGGGGGAAGCAGGTTGGGAGGAAGTTGGTTGAAAGGAAGTGAGCTGGGGGGAAGCAGGTTGGGAGGAAGTTGGCTGAAAGGAAGTGAGCTGGGGGGAAGCAGGTTGGGAGGAAGTTGGCTGAAAGGAAGTGAGCTGGGGGGAAGCAGGTTGGGAGGAAGTTGGCTGAAAGGAAGTGAGCTGGGGGGAAGCAGGTTGGGAGGAAGTTGGCTGAAAGGAAGTGAGCTGGGGGGAAGCAGGTTGGGAGGAAGTTGGTTGAAAGGAAGTGAGCTGGGGGGAAGCAGGTTGGGAGGAAGTTGGTTGAAAGGAAGTGAGCTGGGGGGAAGCAGGTTGGGAGGAAGTTGGTTGAAAGGAAGTGAGCTGGGGGGAAGCAGGTTGGGAGGAAGTTGGTTGAAAGGAAGTGAGCTGGGGGGAAGCAGGTTGGGAGGAAGTTGGTTGAAAGGAAGTGAGCTGGGGGGAAGCAGGTTGGGAGGAAGTTGGTTGAAAGGAAGTGAGCTGGGGGGAAGCAGGTTGGGAGGAAGTTGGTTGAAAGGAAGTGAGCTGGGGGGAAGCAGGTTGGGAGGAAGTTGGTTGAAAGGAAGTGAGCTGGGGGGAAGCAGGTTGGGAGGAAGTTGGTTGAAAGGAAGTGAGCTGGGGGGAAGCAGGTTGGGAGGAAGTTGGTTGAAAGGAAGTGAGCTGGGGGGAAGCAGGTTGGGAGGAAGTTGGTTGAAAGGAAGTGAGCTGGGGGGAAGCAGGTTGGGAGGAAGTTGGTTGAAAGGAAGTGAGCTGGGGGGAAGCAGGTTGGGAGGAAGTTGGTTGAAAGGAAGTGAGCTGGGGGGAAGCAGGTTGGGAGGAAGTTGGCTGAAAGGAAGTGAGCTGGGGGGAAGCAGGTTGGGAGGAAGTTGGTTGAAAGGAAGTGAGCTGGGGGGAAGCAGGTTGGGAGGAAGTTGGCTGAAAGGAAGTGAGCTGGGGGGAAGCAGGTTGGGAGGAAGTTGGCTGAAAGGAAGTGAGCTGGGGGGAAGCAGGTTGGGAGGAAGTTGGCTGAAAGGAAGTGAGCTGGGGGGAAGCAGGTTGGGAGGAAGTTGGTTGAAAGGAAGTGAGCTGGGGGGAAGCAGGTTGGGAGGAAGTTGGTTGAAAGGAAGTGAGCTGGGGGGAAGCAGGTTGGGAGGAAGTTGGCTGAAAGGAAGTGAGCTGGGGGGAAGCAGGTTGGGAGGAAGTTGGCTGAAAGGAAGTGAGCTGGGGGGAAGCAGGTTGGGAGGAAGTTGGTTGAAAGGAAGTGAGCTGGGGGGAAGCAGGTTGGGAGGAAGTTGGTTGAAAGGAAGTGAGCTGGGGGGAAGCAGGTTGGGAGGAAGTTGGTTGAAAGGAAGTGAGCTGGGGGGAAGCAGGTTGGGAGGAAGTTGGTTGAAAGGAAGTGAGCTGGGGGGAAGCAGGTTGGGAGGAAGTTGGTTGAAAGGAAGTGAGCTGGGGGGAAGCAGGTTGGGAGGAAGTTGGTTGAAAGGAAGTGAGCTGGGGGGAAGCAGGTTGGGAGGAAGTTGGTTGAAAGGAAGTGAGCTGGGGGGAAGCAGGTTGGGAGGAAGTTGGTTGAAAGGAAGTGAGCTGGGGGGAAGCAGGTTGGGAGGAAGTTGGTTGAAAGGAAGTGAGCTGGGGGGAAGCAGGTTGGGAGGAAGTTGGTTGAAAGGAAGTGAGCTGGGGGGAAGCAGGTTGGGAGGAAGTTGGTTGAAAGGAAGTGAGCTGGGGGGAAGCAGGTTGGGAGGAAGTTGGTTGAAAGGAAGTGAGCTGGGGGGAAGCAGGTTGGGAGGAAGTTGGTTGAAAGGAAGTGAGCTGGGGGGAAGCAGGTTGGGAGGAAGTTGGTTGAAAGGAAGTGAGCTGGGGGGAAGCAGGTTGGGAGGAAGTTGGTTGAAAGGAAGTGAGCTGGGGGGAAGCAGGTTGGGAGGAAGTTGGTTGAAAGGAAGTGAGCTGGGGGGAAGCAGGTTGGGAGGAAGTTGGTTGAAAGGAAGTGAGCTGGGGGGAAGCAGGTTGGGAGGAAGTTGGTTGAAAGGAAGTGAGCTGGGGGGAAGCAGGTTGGGAGGAAGTTGGTTGAAAGGAAGTGAGCTGGGGGGAAGCAGGTTGGGAGGAAGTTGGTTGAAAGGAAGTGAGCTGGGGGGAAGCAGGTTGGGAGGAAGTTGGTTGAAAGGAAGTGAGCTGGGGGGAAGCAGGTTGGGAGGAAGTTGGTTGAAAGGAAGTGAGCTGGGGGGAAGCAGGTTGGGAGGAAGTTGGTTGAAAGGAAGTGAGCTGGGGGGAAGCAGGTTGGGAGGAAGTTGGTTGAAAGGAAGTGAGCTGGGGGGAAGCAGGTTGGGAGGAAGTTGGTTGAAAGGAAGTGAGCTGGGGGGAAGCAGGTTGGGAGGAAGTTGGTTGAAAGGAAGTGAGCTGGGGGGAAGCAGGTTGGGAGGAAGTTGGTTGAAAGGAAGTGAGCTGGGGGGAAGCAGGTTGGGAGGAAGTTGGCTGAAAGGAAGTGAGCTGGGGGGAAGCAGGTTGGGAGGAAGTTGGTTGAAAGGAAGTGAGCTGGGGGGAAGCAGGTTGGGAGGAAGTTGGTTGAAAGGAAGTGAGCTGGGGGGAAGCAGGTTGGGAGGAAGTTGGCTGAAAGGAAGTGAGCTGGGGGGAAGCAGGTTGGGAGGAAGTTGGCTGAAAGGAAGTGAGCTGGGGGGAAGCAGGTTGGGAGGAAGTTGGCTGAAAGGAAGTGAGCTGGGGGGAAGCAGGTTGGGAGGAAGTTGGTTGAAAGGAAGTGAGCTGGGGGGAAGCAGGTTGGGAGGAAGTTGGTTGAAAGGAAGTGAGCTGGGGGGAAGCAGGTTGGGAGGAAGTTGGTTGAAAGGAAGTGAGCTGGGGGGAAGCAGGTTGGGAGGAAGTTGGCTGAAAGGAAGTGAGCTGGGGGGAAGCAGGTTGGGAGGAAGTTGGTTGAAAGGAAGTGAGCTGGGGGGAAGCAGGTTGGGAGGAAGTTGGTTGAAAGGAAGTGAGCTGGGGGGAAGCAGGTTGGGAGGAAGTTGGTTGAAAGGAAGTGAGCTGGGGGGAAGCAGGTTGGGAGGAAGTTGGTTGAAAGGAAGTGAGCTGGGGGGAAGCAGGTTGGGAGGAAGTTGGTTGAAAGGAAGTGAGCTGGGGGGAAGCAGGTTGGGAGGAAGTTGGTTGAAAGGAAGTGAGCTGGGGGGAAGCAGGTTGGGAGGAAGTTGGTTGAAAGGAAGTGAGCTGGGGGGAAGCAGGTTGGGAGGAAGTTGGTTGAAAGGAAGTGAGCTGGGGGGAAGCAGGTTGGGAGGAAGTTGGTTGAAAGGAAGTGAGCTGGGGGGAAGCAGGTTGGGAGGAAGTTGGTTGAAAGGAAGTGAGCTGGGGGGAAGCAGGTTGGGAGGAAGTTGGTTGAAAGGAAGTGAGCTGGGGGGAAGCAGGTTGGGAGGAAGTTGGTTGAAAGGAAGTGAGCTGGGGGGAAGCAGGTTGGGAGGAAGTTGGTTGAAAGGAAGTGAGCTGGGGGGAAGCAGGTTGGGAGGAAGTTGGTTGAAAGGAAGTGAGCTGGGGGGAAGCAGGTTGGGAGGAAGTTGGTTGAAAGGAAGTGAGCTGGGGGGAAGCAGGTTGGGAGGAAGTTGGTTGAAAGGAAGTGAGCTGGGGGGAAGCAGGTTGGGAGGAAGTTGGTTGAAAGGAAGTGAGCTGGGGGGAAGCAGGTTGGGAGGAAGTTGGTTGAAAGGAAGTGAGCTGGGGGGAAGCAGGTTGGGAGGAAGTTGGTTGAAAGGAAGTGAGCTGGGGGGAAGCAGGTTGGGAGGAAGTTGGTTGAAAGGAAGTGAGCTGGGGGGAAGCAGGTTGGGAGGAAGTTGGCTGAAAGGAAGTGAGCTGGGGGGAAGCAGGTTGGGAGGAAGTTGGCTGAAAGGAAGTGAGCTGGGGGGAAGCAGGTTGGGAGGAAGTTGGTTGAAAGGAAGTGAGCTGGGGGGAAGCAGGTTGGGAGGAAGTTGGCTGAAAGGAAGTGAGCTGGGGGGAAGCAGGTTGGGAGGAAGTTGGTTGAAAGGAAGTGAGCTGGGGGGAAGCAGGTTGGGAGGAAGTTGGCTGAAAGGAAGTGAGCTGGGGGGAAGCAGGTTGGGAGGAAGTTGGCTGAAAGGAAGTGAGCTGGGGGGAAGCAGGTTGGGAGGAAGTTGGTTGAAAGGAAGTGAGCTGGGGGGAAGCAGGCTGGGAGGAAGTTGGCTGAAAGGAAGTGAGCTGGGGGGAAGCAGGTTGGGAGGAAGTTGGTTGAAAGGAAGTGAGCTGGGGGGAAGCAGGTTGGGAGGAAGTTGGTTGAAAGGAAGTGAGCTGGGGGGAAGCAGGTTGGGAGGAAGTTGGTTGAAAGGAAGTGAGCTGGGGGGAAGCAGGTTGGGAGGAAGTTGGCTGAAAGGAAGTGAGCTGGGGGGAAGCAGGTTGGGAGGAAGTTGGCTGAAAGGAAGTGAGCTGGGGGGAAGCAGGTTGGGAGGAAGTTGGCTGAAAGGAAGTGAGTTGGGGGGAAGCAGGTTGGGAGGAAGTTGGTTGAAAGGAAGTGAGCTGGGGGGAAGCAGGTTGGGAGGAAGTTGGCTGAAAGGAAGTGAGCTGGGGGGAAGCAGGTTGGGAGGAAGTTGGTTGAAAGGAAGTGAGCTGGGGGGAAGCAGGTTGGGAGGAAGTTGGTTGAAAGGAAGTGGGTATGGGAGCATTTTCAAAAAGCCATGCATGAAACCCGCTGTGCTGTTTATGGACAACAGAGAAACGTTACCATCAAAACTAGTGCACGTGAGTAACATATCACCCACACCTGTGCACGTCGGCCTTGGGAGTGGCCTTGTGGGAGCGGTAGTAAGCGGGGTCCACATAGCCCGGCGTGCCCATGACTCGGGTAGCGGCCACAGATGTACCTTCCCCAAGTCGCACCAGCCCAAAGTCAGCGAGCTTGGCGTGCATGCGCGCGTCCAGCAGCACGTTGGCGGGCTTGATGTCGCGATGCACGATGCTGAAGCCGTGCAGATACTCCAGCCCCCGCGCCATGCCCGTCAGGATGGCGAGTCGTTGCTGCATTGTGAGCGGGTAGGGTGCACCTGGGAGAGAAGGCATGGCAGTTGGGAGTTGGGGAGGTAAGTGTGTGTATGGATAGATTGAGAGTCTTGTGTTGCCATGCATTGGAGCCCTTCAGGTTCATAGCATGGATTGAGAGTCTAGCATGGGCTGAGGGTCTAGCATGGGCTGAGGGTCTAGCATGGGCTGAGGGTCTAGCATGGGCTGAGGGTCTAGCATGGGCTGAGGGTCTAGCATGGGCTGAGGGTCTAGCATGGGCTGAGGGTCTAGCATGGGCTGAGGGTCTAGCATGGGCTGAGGGTCTAGCATGGGCTGAGGGTCTAGCATGGGCTGAGGGTCTAGCATGGGCTGAGGGTCTAGCATGGGCTGAGGGTCTAGCATGGACTGCATAGAAGCAATAAATTGCATGAGTGTGTAAATCTGGAAGAGGAGAGGTTGTTGAGAGTAAGTCCGCAACACAAACAAACAATGCTGGCTCGTCTGGCCCGAGGTCACTGTTCTCATACACCACGGTCTGCCTACTTCACCAGTGGACTTTCCAATCCAACCACTGTTCTCTGTGGCTTCTCAATTTGTCTCAAATCAGACCGTATCGGCTCAGCTCACCTGCTCCGATCCAGCGGTCGAGGTCCCCATTGGCCATGAACTCATAGACGACGATCTGCTCCATGCGCTCCGCCTCGTAGCTCATGTCAAAGCAGTACCCCAGCAGCCTCACCAGGTTCGGATGGCTCTTGGTCGCCATCTCGTTGATCTGCCGGGGGGGTGGTGGGGTGGGAATAGGCAGGGCGGGTGGGGGAGAGGGGGGGAGGGAAGCAGGCCGGTTTCTTATAATTCTCAAAACCAGCTACCGCAGCAGATTCGGATGGCTCTTCACCGCCATCTCGTTGGTCTGAAGGGCCGTTGTGTGGGAGAAATGTTCCGGGTAAGCAGGTTAGGGGAAAGAAGGTTGAGAGGAAGCATGTTCGGGGTAAGCATGTTTGTGGAAAGCAGGTTGGGGGGAAGCAAGTTCGCGGGAAGCAGGTTGGGGGAAATCAGGTTGGGAGGAATTTGGTTGGGGGAAAGGAAAACACCCTACAGACAAGGTTGGCAGCGACACCTCGCTCGTACCCCGTAAACCAAACCAATGCCAAGTATGATATGCTTGGTAATCGCAGAGCTTGATACTGCTGAGATTACCAAGCCAATGCAACACACGGCAGGGAGTCTCACCTTTCGCCGGAAGTCATTAGTACTAATGACTAGGGACGCGGGACGTGGGCTCGCTTTTGAGAATTGATAAAGCCTATGTGGCACAGGGCAGGGAGTCTCACCTCGCGTCGGAAGTCGTTGGTGAGAACGCGGGCTCGCTTCACAGCCCACACCTCCTTGGGGTTCCGCGGATTCACCCCCTTGTACACATCGCCAAAGCTGCCGCTGCCTATGCGGTTGCTCTCTGCCCACCTCCCCGTGGCCCGAGCCATCTCCTCAAAGGAGAATCGCTGGCACACGTCTGGCCCAGGACCCGCTGCAGCACGCAGCAGTGGCTGCACTGCTGGCTCTGGATCTGCCACTCCCATTGCTGCGACAGCAGCTGCTGCTGCCGCAGCTGCTTCCTCCGCTGCCCTCACTGCTGTTGGTGCTGCTGACTGTAGAGCTTCATGAGATGATTTGCTTGATCCCCTCTTGACTCCTGCTTGAGCCACCTCTGAAGTTGCTGTTGCTGCTGTGGCTACTGCTGCTTTTGCTTCTTCTTTTGCTGCCATTGTTGATGCAGAGGGTATGTCAACAACCACCTGCCCTGGGACCAATCCACCTGCTGCTGCCGCTGGTGGTCGTCTTCGCCCACTTCGCGCGCACCGTTTTACCAAACCTCGCACTGCTGGACCGGCCGTGCCGGCCTACGCTTCGGGACTAGCCCGAGCCTCGCTTCCAGCGTAGCACTAGCTAGCTCGCACGCACCGCATTACCGTTTGTATGTTTTGCTGCGATCAGAAATAGATCGTAGCCAGGATCACCTCAGAAAGGTTCGCACGCTTCTAGTCTAGTGGTGGTGGGCCCTTGACCTCAATAGCAGAGTGAATGTAAAATGCTTGAGATGATAAAACATGCAAATACAACGATATAAATAAGAGTACAGGGGAATACGAATCGACCTAGCTAGCCATGTACTCTAAGGGGTACATTCCCTTATTCAAATTCATTCCCAACCGTGCGGTGCGTACAGTTACGAAACTGTTCCCGCAAGAATCCTTCTGCCTTCAGCTGCCCGATGCCATCTGCTCCGACGGTCCAGATGCATCTCAACCGTCTGACGTTTCGAGTCAATTCTGACTCTTCACATTCGTTCTCGATACTGCATGCTTCTTTAGCTGCGGTCGGGAGTGCACTATAATCTTCATTCATCGCTTATTCGTAACACCCCCCTCCACTCCTGGCCGTAGCTCGACTTGACCTGCTTGACCACGCCGCTGAGTTCGGAGCAGTGTTGATACTGCAGGCATGGCGGTCGCTTCGTGAGAAAGTCTGCTGTCATGTCACCGGTCGGGCAATAGGTCAAGTCTACCTTGCCCTTGTCCACTTCGTCCTTCACGAAGAAATACCGCAGCACAATGTGCTTGGTGCGGTTGACGAAACCAGGTTTGTTTGCGATGCGAATTGCGCTCTGGTTGTCGCAGTGAAGGCGAAAGGTGGGCGAAGCTGGGATTTTCGCCTCCTACAGAAGTTCCTGTAGGTAGAGGCCTTCGCGAACTGTTGCGGTTGCTGCGATGAATTTCGCTTCGACTGACGACAAGGCAACCAGCTCCTGCTTCTGCGAGTTCCAGGAGATTGGTCCCGTTGGTTCGAGTCGGAACAGGAAGCCAGTCCTCGACCGTCGATTGTCAGGATCTGCTGCGTGATCGGCGTCCACGTAGCCGATGAGGTTGAAGGATGGGGTTGGTACAGTTGAGTAGCACAGTCCAATCTTGGGCGTTGAAACGAAGAACTGCAGGGCGCGCTGCAGGTCCAGAAGATTCTCAGCCGTTGGTTTGCGTGAGTACTGGGCCAGCTGACTTGCGATGTAGGAGAGGTCTGGCCTGCAGGTGACAGAGGCAAAGAGCAGGCATCCCAGCTGCTGCTGGTAAGTCTGAACTCCAGCAGGGGATAGGGCTTTGTTGTCAGGTTTGTAATTCGGTCCCGGAGTTCGATAGGGAGTGGAGAGCGGTGCAGGTGAAATGTTGAACCGCTTCCCTAACTCCTCTGCGTACTTGGCCGCTGAGAGGTGAATGGCCTCGGGTGCGTAGGAGATGTTGAGGCCTAAGAACTGCTTCACTTCATAGTTGCATGTGATGTCGACGCGCCCCGCCAGTGCCTTCTCGAAGTGCTTGAGCAACTCGTTGCTTGATCCTGTGTAAAGCAAGTCGATGCCGTGCCTCTGGTCGTATCCGCGTACCACCCAACGCGCCTTGAAGCGCTCGATCGTTCCGTCCGGTACGGTCTTCACGCGGAAGACCCATTTGCCCGAAAGAACTCTTGCGCCTTTGATTGCCGCACGGTCGACCAACACCCAGGTGTCTTGAGATTCGAGCGCCTTGATTTCCGCGTCCATCGCCTCCCGCCATTCTTTGCTGTGTGGTCCAGTGAGGGCTTCGCGCGGGTTTCGCGGCTCGATGACACGTGGCGCCTTCGAGGTTGCGGTGTGAAGCCCGAGCAGCTGCAATCCTGAAACAATGCTGTCGTGGCGACGTTGCGGGATGAATTCCTGCACGTCATCGTCATCGCTGTCTGGTTCAGGTGGTGCAGGTGGTGCTGCGCCACTGCCGCTTCCGCCTGTTCCGCCCATTCCTCCTCCAAGGGAATCGTCGTCATCGTCGTCGCTGCTGCGATCTCCCCGTGTGAACTCGCCCGTGGTGTCCTGCTCAAGGATTGCTGCCGCAGCTTCGTCCTCGGGCGTTGCGTAGCTGTGCCCATCGTTTGCATAAACACGATTTGCATTCGTCTGCTCGTCGTGGCGGAACTGGTCGAGGAAGAGGCGTTCGTAGAAAATCACGTCGCGAGCGTGGGTGGTCTTCTGACTGAGCAGGTCCAGCACGATCCACGCCTTGTGCTTGTGGCTGATGCCGAGGTGAATGCCCCAACGCAAGCGGCTGGCGTATTTGCTGATGGTTGACGTTGGCGGGCGGTATTGGATCATGCACCCCCACACGCGGAGCATGGACGTGTCCCCCTTGGTCCCGGTCCACTTTACATGCGGGGACAGGTTGCCGGTAATGGCGGTAGTTGACAGTAAGTTGTGCATCCGCACGGCGTGGTGCATCGCGTAAGTCCAGTAGATCGGCGTCAGTTTTGACTGCTTCATCAATGCTCGCACCTTTGTCATTAGCGTGCGGTTTGTCCGCTCAGCTACGCCCTGCTGCTGGTGTGCGTAGGGGAGAGAAATATCCCTTTTTGCGCGAGGTAACTCTGCATCTGATTGCTCCTGAACTCCTTTGCGCCGTCAGATTGCCAGATTTTCAGCTTCTCCCCGGGTTGCTGCTGCGCGTGCGCAAGCCAGAGGCGGAACACCTCATAGGCTCTGTCGCGTGATTCAACATTTACGATCCACACATAGCGCGTCCCAGCGTCGATGAAGGTAAGTGTGTACATTTCGTCGTCGACTCCGCAGTGCCCCACGTTCAGGAAATCGCTGTACACCTTGTACAGCTTGGGGTAGCAGTTCGTCCCTGGCTCGAGCAGCGGGAACGGCTGGTGGCTTAGCGCAGCTTCGGGGCAGACGGTGCAGTTGCGCGGATGTGTCGTGCCTCTCACTTTGGTGCCGAAGACTCAGCACCCCAGGAGCGAAGACTCCTGCGTCGATGCAGTTCTTCAGTGTCGCACGCGAAGGATGTTCGAGACGCTGATGCCAGAGCGCATCGTCAGCGCCAAAGCCGGAAGTGCGCATGTAGCGTGCGCGAGCTTCTTTGGAATCCTCATCAGGTACATGGGCAAGTGTTCCTGGTGCTTCTTCTGCTGCTTCATCTTCGTCGTTGGCGGTAGTCAGCATTAACGCCAGAAACTCTCTGTCCCGAATCTCAGAGAGGGGGATGTTAGTCCCAGGGATAGTTCCAGGGAAAAAGATCGGTTCGCGCGACTCGGGAGCAGGTCCGTAGACGGTGCAACGCGGAGTTGACGGTTCGTTGCCCCAGTCGATGGTGTCCCAGGGGTCACGCTGCGGTGGGTTGTCAGGGGGAGGTAATGCGAGTGGAGTGCGGCGCGGGGGACGACCAAGAGGAACAACTGCAGGTGCTGCATCAGTTTCCTCTGCTTCATCTTCTCCCCCCTTTTGTTCTTCGCGGAAAGTCCCCCAGCCACTGTTGTCGGCGCCAGTTGCGGCGCCCCATCCCCCGCTTGCGTTGGCCCAGGTTCCGCCGCTGGCTTCCCATCCGCCGGTATCACTCGTTCCCCATCCACCAGCGCACCCTTCATTGGAGGCGCTTTGTTCCGCTTCGACTCCCCATGCGCCGCAAGCGAATGTCCCGCGCGCTTCGGCGAGGCTTTGTTGGCGAAGCTCCTCAGCTTCACGCCGCGCCGGTTCTTCTTCCTGCTCCACGGTAAGTTTCTTTGACGGGTCGCGTTGATGAGGGTAAATTTCCAAAAATTTCTCGTGGGTGTAGGGCCGCAGCACGCCATGCGCATCA